CAGGATTTTGCCATGTTGGCCTGGCTGGTCTCGAACTCCCGACCTCAGGTGATCTGCCTGCCTCGACCTCCCAAAGTGCTGGGATTACAGGCGTGAGTCACTGCACCCGGCTGGCAAAATTTCAATCTAAGGTGGTCACTCCAATAGTAGCAACTAAGTAAATATTCCCTGAGAGTTTTTTTAAAAATCACTTTGTGAACCTTTAATCCCTGACAGGTAATCTGGAACCAGGAAGAGAAAAGGTATTTGGATGACTCAGAACAGGCCACCATGACTGTCGGGAAATTCCTAGTCCTGCCCTGTGCAAGCCAACTGCAGCTAAATTGTCTCTGGCAGTTGCCCTCCTACATTCCCATCATGTAGGAGAGCTGCTAGGAAGTCCACTCACTTTGTCAGCAACACCCAAGTTCAAAGGCATTAGAAAGAAGCTATTATTCCAAACCCTCTACACACCAGCAAGGGGGAGGCTGGTGCTGCAGTATCTGGATATTCCAAGTTGGCCAATCTCTCCAATATACAAAGGTGAGGGGACAAAAATGACTAAAAATTATCCCCCTACATAGCGATTTTAATGCACAGTAGAAACGTAAGTGGAAGAAAGTCACAGATGAATTCAGTACAGTAATATCATGATTAACAAAGTCTCAGGATTAACAGTTCACAAACACAATCACTCTGGGATACTGCCGGGGTGGATGAGATAATTGAATAGCTTTTGCTTCTACCTGTCCTAGATCCAGCAGAGGGAAAGGGCCTGTCCCTAAGACCCCACCAGCTGGGAACAGAGCCTGCAGCTCCAGAGATGCCTGAAGAACCCCCTCCACGGCCAGCCCATCTCCACCTTCGCCTTTGCTCTTCTACCTTCACCAAACTGAACAATGGTTTCCTTTAAGGGAAAGAGCAGCTAGTGGTTCCAGAAGATCCAGCCCAAGAGTAATGCACGTTCTGGAACTTAACCCAAACCTCCTGCAACCTCTTCTCATCTTCATGAAGCTTCTGACAGGGAAATGTGGCTATGCTATATCCTCCTCTTTGTTCAGCAAGGTAATAAAGAAGATAATTATTTTTTTTAACATGGAGTTGGTCGGGCACAGTGGCTCACGCCTGTAATCCCAGCACTTTGAGAGGCTGAGGAGGGTGGATCACCTGAGGTCAGGAGTTTGAGACCAGCCTGATCAACATGATGAAACTCTGTCTCTACTAAAAATACAAAAATTAGCCAGGCGTGGTGGCATGCATCTATAATCCTAGCTACTTGGGAGGCTGAGGCAGGAGAATTGCTTGAATCCGGGAGGCAGAGATTGCAGTAAGCTGAGATTGT